CTGAATGGCAGAATGTGATGATGTTTGTTTTTCTAAATAAAATTCACTAGCAGCACAAATGTATTTGATATTTGGATTCATTTTTAATGTTTTTCATAAAAGCAGGAAGGCAGATTTTGGGGAGAAATTTTGGAGATTTTCAGAAGATTCTCAGCACATCGAATTTTAGAGAAATGTTGGGATGTAAAATGTATAGGATAAGCAGCTAGTTGCTGTCATGTGCAGAAGTGTTGTGTAACAAGTTGGGAAACCTGGCCACAAGCCACTGCAGCTTTGAAGAATGTGGCTCAAGGGAGGACTCAAAGCCCATTGCGTAACATTCAGTAAAGAGGAAAATGCAAGTACTGTCTCTATCACTTGACTTGTTTTCCATTTTGATTTAGTTACTTGGCAAAGTCTTGGTATCTTTTAGTGAAGGAATGAAAGACAAGTTCCAGTGAAGGACCGTGCCTTCAAGGGATCAGCCAGTGGATGGTTTGTGAGACTGGGCAGGTGCATTGAATTTCTTATTGTTGGGCAGAGGGATTAGAGTTTCCAGAGACAATTTGAAAAACATCATCGTGTGCTACTTGAAGTTTTTTTCTGAAAGGGAATTCTTTCTTCTCTTCAACATTATGTGCTTCTTGTAGTTCATATACCTGTGCTTTAAAATGTCACAGCTACTAAGGAGGGGCCATTTAATAGCAAAATCATTTCCCCTCATGTTCTGTGATATTTCAGTTTGGCAGTAGAGTTTACAAGGTTTGAAATCAAAAGCAGCTTTGGTTGCTTCAGAGGAAAATGATCCTAGTCAACCAAAATGAAAGCCAAACAGTCTCTAATTGTTCTTTTCCCACAAGGGGCTTGCCCTTTTTGAAGGTATGGGTAATTTTAATAGGACCTTCTCTCTGACAGGCTTAGTCACTGGGAATTGCCTCTTCCCCTGGGTAAAACCCAGTTTTAAGTCTTACTTTAAAATAGACCTCAAAGTATCTTTGAAAATAAATGACTTTGGTATCTCTCCATTCTCTTGCTCCTTGTCCCTCAGCAAGGAAGCTTTTTCTCATAGGGCACTTCCTGATGCAGTGTCTAATCCTAACTTTACAGGTACTCACGCTAAATTAGGAAAGATTTTAGTTTTATCATTTTTATTGTGCCATTCATGTGTTGTGAAAAGTTAAGTAAATGCTACCCAGGGAGCTAATTTTTTTCTCACTCTGAATCAAGTCTAGTGCCATAGATTTTATGATGTCAGGTTTTTTCTTTTGGTCGCTAGCCCTAGTGTTGGTCAGCACAGCAGCCTTAACTTCCCCAGCCTTCTTACCCTGCTTTGTAAAGGTGCAGGTCATGCCTAAGAATCCATTTTGTCTGTCAGCTCTTCCACTCCTTGGAGACTTGAAAAACACCATATATAGAATACTAGCAATTTTTTTCCTCAGGGCATGAGGATTTTCAAATCAAATGGAGCTTTTTTCTTCTCCGTCTCCTGTCTGCTTTTCTTCCACCAGTATCTTACAGCCTAAGATTTGTCAAACACATACAGGAGTCTCCTGAGCCACCAGTCACGTGATAATGAAAGCAAGAAAAGAAAAGACCAGATGGCATCAAAAGATACGCCTTTCTAGGTCGTTGGTGGTTAAGCTTGCAATCTGGTTACCAGCAGGGAGACTGGGAGAAGGGGTGGAGAATAGCAAAGCGCTATTGTAAGGGAAGAAGAATTTTGCCATACAGTTTACAGTCACAGGGTATCCATTGCTCTTGAAAGTAAGTACCTAAGTGCGTTAAGCACATATGGAAAACTGCAGCATTTGGATGGCACCTTTGAAAAGTGTGGGTGGCATCCCTTTGGTTAGCTGCTGGCCTTCACCTGCCATTAACCCTTTGTCATTCTACTCTCAAAATGCCTGATTCAGTTCCAAGTACAAAAACTGTAAGAAAAGACATTCGGCTCCCACAGATACACCTCTTCCCACAGGAAGGCAGAGGACATCATTCACCACTTATCCTTTATCCCGTTACCTATTTTGAGGACTGTATTTATAAAACATAGAAAATGGCTTCATTGGCCTTTGTGAGACGTGATATCTCTGGATATGTTTTATTGGTATAAGCTGTTTCTTAGAGCATGCTTACAGTTACTTGACTGAAGACATGTTTGGCAATAGCTAGTAAAAAATATTTTAGAGGACAGTGCGCCTTCCTTGTTCATTCTTATACCTCACTCCGTTGACCTGTGTATCTCCTGGTTTAACTGTGCTATTGGAGATTACCAGACTGCTAAACTTGGCGTATATATTTTTTTATAGAATTTCAGCTCAGTTGCTTTCCCTTGAATGAAAAAACTAAGGTATTTTTAATTTTAGGTTTACACGTGGTCCCAAATATGAACTTGAATTCTTTACTCTTCTTTTAATTACCTTGAAGAGCCTTGCTTTTTCATAGACAAATTCAGTATCCCTGAAGTCCAAAGTCAAGTTTCAGCCTTTTATGTCTACCTCCTCCAATTACAATCTCTTCTTTTTTATTCAGATTCTGTTGCCCTTGCTATCTGTGTGACTCATTTCATTAGGAACCAAATGAAAGAAAACAGTATATTCTGTTCTCCAGTCTAGATTATACAATCTTAAAGTTTACTTTTTCTTTTTTTTTTTACATCTCCCTCTCAAGCAAGCATCTTGTACATTGCTGAGTATACAAAAGTTATCTAATAAGTATACAACTGAATGATTAAGAGAGAGAGGGAGGGAGGGGAGGGAGGGGAGGGAGGGTGATTCCCAGTCAGGGCACATGCCTGGGTTGCAGGCCAGTTCCCAGCAGGGGACGCATGAGAGAGGCAACCATACATTGATATTTCTCTCCCTCTCTCCTTCCTCCCCCTCTAAAGATAAATAAATAAAATCTTTTTAAAAAATAAAAAGTAAATAAAAGTGAGAGAGAATGTAGACATTTTAATATTATGTTAGTCAATTTCTGCTCAGATTTTAATGACTTTAACTTATGTCTCACAAAACAGAAAATTGACCCATCCATTTTTCCCGTAGTGTAAAGATACTGTTGTGAAGTTTCTTAAACTAAAAGGTATTTCCTATATATACACTGAATTTTTTGTTTAGACCAATTTCAACAAAATCGGCAAGTTGTTATTGTGGCAACATGCTTGTTAACTTTGCCAGTTAGTTGTTTTGTTAACTTTTTTAGATGACTTCAGTCCGAGCCCCCTGGGGGCCTCACATTATTAGTAAGGCTCCCAGGGCAGCAGTAACTCTGCAGCCTCCAGTCACGGCATCAGTGCAGTTGTTAGGTATTCGCTACAATGACCCTGATGAAGAGTTTAAAGATGTTTTTTACTGCGGGTTTTCTTTTGTTTTTAGTCCGCTCAAGAAGAGCACTCACTCTGTGATCATGTGAGAGACCTCACCTCAGAGGTTTTCCAGTTAAAAATGAATATTTTGTTGAAGGGTCTGTGATTTGAGGTAGCACAGCAGGGGAGGAAAGCAACTTTTTAATTATTAGATCACATGAAGGGGAATCTGTTGATTTAGGGAAAATAAAAACTCTTTTATCCACATCAGGTTTGTCAGGTTTCAGCCTGGAGCTAATTATTACAATTGAATTATTGAACTCAGTAGATTTGGAGTGGAAATACTAACAGACCTTTATATCTAGGCTAGTGGGTACTGGAAGAATCTTAATGATTCACCAGCCAAATTTCTGATTTTACTACCTTTAATGATCCTTGCTTGTGTACCCCTCTTTCAGAATGCTAGCATTCGAGACTTTCACTTGACATTAGTTTACGTGTATTAAGACAGAGAAAGCATAGTTTGGTGAGTAAGCTAATGAAACCATTTTGGCCCTCTTTGAGGAAAAAGTGGAACATGTGTTTGTTCCTGGTACATTTGAGACAGTTGTTAAACGTTCAGTTATAGCCCTTTAAGAGGTAGGGGTAAACTATGAACACATTTGTGAATATTCTTTTCAGATATATTGTTAACTGCTAAACTGTGTCATGCCTTACGAAACACAGGTCCGAAGATGTGGACTGATATTGTTTCACAGTGGAATTATGTACCCAGAACTCTCATCACGGTGCTCATAGTTCCCTCAGGGTACAGGGAAGGTAAATCCATAAGGCTGCCTGCTAGCATTTCCAGGAGAAATTTCCCCTAACTTGCCCACAGGTTAGGTAAATGGAAGAATGCGATGACTTTCAGTAAATAATTTTTCACCTGGCTTTTCCCCATTTGTAGAAAATTGCAAGTGGATAGTAAGAGAGTGGAGAGGGAGAGAGACAGAAATAAAAATTAAAAACCAATGAGCTGGTGCACTTAGATATTGGGAAGCAAGGGACTGTTTTATAAGTTGTCGTTTCAGTGGCTAGAATTGATCACAGACCCATGTATTTTGCATAATCCTATTTTCCTAGCTGGTTGTAGAATCTTGCTGTTTCTATTGTGTTGGCTCTCATGAAGTTGTCATTTTTATAAGTGAGAAATGGTTGAATATCATAAATTTCATATGGTTCAAGTTGATACATAATAACATGTAACACTGTAGGATAGCTGTGTGTGTGTGTGTGTGTGTGTGTGTGTGTGTGTGTAAGTATGTAAAAGGTGGACGGGAAGAAATAGAAATCTTGAGTTCAATAACTCTACTTGGGGTACCCTAGCTGAAAAAAACGCTATCCTAGCCTGCAGTTTTAGGCATTCAGAATCAAATACAATTGCCCTAGTGTGCTCTCCTACTTCCATTTGAGATAGTTTATGGGGTGGGTTCACATTAAATCATCTCTGACAGAGATTACCAGTGGCGATAGCAATCTGAAGGGATCAGTAGTCGCAGGGCGCACAGAAATGGCAGACTGAAAATCAGTAGGCGGGCCTGCACTTACAGATAAGGAAGAAGTAGGGATGTAACATGGTAATAGACTAAATAATGTACAAATTATTATTTGTCTTAAAATAGGTTTTAGGATGTTTCTAGTGGACTATTCAGACTGTGATTTGACTTTTTTGTCTTAGACGAGCTCATCTGCGCCTGTGTTTAGAACGCTTAAAAGTTTTGATTCCACTAGGACCAGACTGCACCAGGCACACAACACTTGGTTTGCTCAACAAAGCCAAAGCACACATCAAGGTGAGAATTTTAACTTTCATGTTTGCCCATGATTCTTTCAGTCTTGGTTTCATTAGAAGCAATGATTCCTATTTATATACATCAGCTAGCTCACCAGGGCCTTCCTTAAAGATTAACTCGAGAGAAATCCAAAAACTTGTCAGCTAATCTGATGGGAGGGAGCAACATAGCCTGATCAAACTACATTGTTTTGACAGCACGGTCATTTAAAGAGCTGGGAAGGCTAGAAAAATAACAATTACTCTGATGATACCCAGAGACAAGGCAGTTGTGCCCTCTGGTGGAGATGACTTCATTTGGCTGTGTACCTTTGTATTTTTTCCATCAAACTACACTGCAGAGCAAGTTCTCTTTCATGGATATAACTTTACAGACTTTGGGAATTCCGTACTGTTCTAGTAATGTGGCATTCATTATACACCAACAAAGTGAAGAAAAACTATTTTTGATGTTTAAAAATATGTATTTATGTATGTTTTTATATGCACATACACATATATACATGGGGGTACCCTCCAAAATAACAAGTTATCTTTTGGAGGGTGGACCATTTGTACTGACAGGCTTCCCCCACTAGGAGTGTTCTAGGAATCTATCTGTATCACTGTGCCAGCTCGCATTGTTGTGAGAGGCTGTGTTCGACCTTAATGAAATTTTTTTGGAAGGCTCTTTCAATGAATTTGCTCGTTTCATGATGGTTGATGGGAGTGTACCTGCCCACATCATGCTGAGTGTTTAGCAGCTTTTGACCCCAAAAGGCATGACCCTCATGCCCCACCCTCTCTATCCACCCAATCTGGCCCCCAGCGACTTTTTGTGTTTCCCTGGATGAAAAAGTCCTCATAGGGAAACATTTTGCTAATGTGGAAGAGGTGAAACAAAACACAGTAGGAATACTAAAGACATCTAAATCATTGAGTTCAAAAACTGGATTGCATCAAATGGTGGAGAGCACTTGAAAGGTGACTGAAGTTTAAACATGTAAGAATAAATGCACATTTTTATAAATAAATTCCAGGTTTTTGGGGTCCCTTCTCATACTTGTATATTCATGTTTGCCAAGGAAATCTTTTGAAATGTTAGGTAAAAATCAGTTTTACTGTTTGTACTGGACTATACACAAACCTAAATCTCATTTTAGAAACTTGAAGAAGCTGAAAGGAAGAGCCAGCACCAGCTAGAGAACTTGGAAAGAGAACAGAGATTTTTAAAGCGGCGACTGGAACAGCTCCAGGGTCCTCAGGAGATGGAACGAATACGAATGGACAGCATTGGATCAACTATTTCTTCAGATCGCTCTGATTCAGAGCGAGGTAGGCAGTGTGCTTCTTACCTAATGAAATACTAAGAATCCCTGTATCTGGATTTAGGGAGGGTAGGTTTAGAGGCACTCACTGTATTTGCTTTTTTCTCTTTGGCCAACACTGTAACATTCTAGGTTTTATGCAATCACAACATTGTCTAGTAATGCCCGTATGAACTATAGAACTTTTTATTGGTGTATATATACATATACATATACATACACACAACACACACACATATATATGTATAGATATATATATTTAATTTTCTATTTTGAAGGAGTTTTAGACTTAGAGAAAAGTTGTAAGTTTTCTGTAGAAAATTAGAGTTCTTATATGCATAGAGTTCTTATATACCCTTCACCTAGGTTTCCCTAATGTTAACATCTTACATAGCCATAGTGCAGTTATCAAAACCAGGAAATTAACATTCATGCAATACTATTTTTAATCTATAGCTCTTACTCAAATTTCACCAGTTTTCCTATTAATATCATTGGTCTGATACAGGATCCAGGGCAGGATTTCATGCTGCATTAGACAGTTCTTCACTATTTCTTTCATGACCGTGATATTTTTTAAGAACATTGGCTCATTATTTTATATAGTGTTGCTCAGTTTGGGTTTGTCTGGTGTTGTTTTTTTTTAAAGATTTTATTTATTTAGTTTTAGAGAGAGGGTAAGAGAGGGAGAGAAACTCAGTGTGCAAGAGATACATCAGTTGGTTCCCTTTCACGCGCCCCTAACTGAATACCTGGCCTGTAACCCAGGCATGTGCTCTGACCGGCAACTGAACCAGTGATTTTTCATTTCGCAGGCTTTGGCTCAGTCCACTGAGCCACACCAGCCAGGGCTGATGTTTTCTTATTTTTAGATTGAGGTTATATATTTGGGGGAAGAAATAACCGTAGAAGTGATAATTGTACCCTTCTCAATTCTATCGGGAAGATACATGATGTTGATATTTTTTTACCTATATTTTAAAGTGCTACACCATTCATTTCTCTTTCCATCTGCCCTAGATCACTTATCTTTGGCAGAATTTGAGAGGAAAAGCCAACCAAAAAGAAATTGTTTGAATTTTACTAATCTATTCACCCTAACTTCTACATCAGGCCTCAAACCACAATAAAAGATCCCGGAGATAAACTTTTTAAAATTTTACATTTGGGAAAATCAAGCTCATGAGATTCTTGAGAATTCTAAAACAACAAAAAAATTTGCACAATTTATTTTGACGTTTTATCATGGACAATTTTATACATCCACAAAAGTGGAATAGAATAATGAACTCTCGTGTACCCATCATTCAGTTCGGACAGTTGTCAACAATTCTGTCATTTTTATTTCATCTGTTTTCCACCACCTTCACCCTCACAATTGCTTTTGGAATGTTTTAAATCAAATCCCAGATAACATTATCATATGTTTTCCCTAAATACTTCAGTATGTATCTTAAATAACTAGGACTTTAAGAAAAGTAATCAGATTATTATCATATCCCACAAAATTAATAAAATCAAATGATCTTATTTAATGTCATGACAGATTTTCTCAAAAATGGCATTTTACCAATGGTATGTTTAATCCAAAGTCCACATTGAATTTGTGCATTTTAAGCACTTTTTAATCTGTAAAATTTTCCCTCCCCACTTTTTTTTTTTTAGTACCATTTATTTATTGTAGAAACTGAAGAACTCAGTCATTTTTCTTAAAGAATTTCTCACATTTTAGACTTGGATGATTCAGTCTTCATGCTATCATTTAATAGTACCTCATATTTCTTATAAACTGGTTGGTAGATGTAGTTGCTTGATTAAATTCAGGGTTGTTTTTTTTTTTTTAAATGCAAGAATACTTCATAGGTGGTGCTATGCACTTCCTGGTGTTTCAGTTGTATGTCTAGTTGTCCTACTCTAGTGAAACACTAGTTAGTAGGTTCAGGTGTTGTCCTCCGGGTACTTTTATGAAAACATACCAGCCTTTCACTGAATAGTTTTAGCATCATTGGTGATTATCGCCCTGGTCATTATTTCATTAGGTATTACAAAATAGTGATTTTCTAATTCCATTATTCTTACATTTAGCTTTTTCTTCTATAAAGAAGAGCATTTCCTTAAGTTTTTGGTTACTCTGAAATAAAGTCGATACAGGGAAGGTGGGATAAATGCTTGATTTTGCTTTATCAGTTTTCTGAATAAGTTGCTGCCTTGGCAACCTCCAGAAGTAATAGGGCTTTTTGTTTTACAGTTTCTCTGTGATTATCTTATGAACTCATGTTTTCATGTATTGAATGTGTTCAAATCCATTGTAGTCTTTCTTTTTAATACTCAAATTTCCTATATTCTGTAGGTACCTTTCAAATTGTTTTTTGATCCCTTTTGACACACATTGGGAGTTTTGGGGTTTATTAGTTTTATTGTTGTTTTGCTTATATGAAAGTTTATTTTTATGTGGCACTCAGTTTTGAAGAATAGAACTTTACCAGTGGCAACAGCAAGAACCTCTAGGACATGCTACATTTGTGAGTGACAGTGAGGGGTGGCAGAGATACCCCTGAATTAGGGGGCTGTCTTTGATCCTAGTCTTTTTTCTACTGTTACTAGCTGTGTATCCTGTCAGGTCTTCAGGCATTAACTGTTCTTCCTGCTGTTATCTCCTCCTTGTACCTACCCACCTCCAAATTTTAGAGAGGGTGTATCTTCACTACATGTCTTTGTTTTTAGTAGTCCCAGTATGCCAGTACCTTACCTAGTACTGTTCTTGTTCTTATCTGGCAGCCTTCTTTGCCAGTAACATCCCAACTTTCTAACATCCAGCCTTCTTTTTCAATAACATATCTAATCCATTTGGCTAGAGCAGTCTCTCATTTTAGTTTGTTTTGATTGAATTCAGCATTCCCTATTAGATGGGCTGTCTTCATTTTATTTCTCAATTATAATTTGGATAAGTGTTCTCTGGTACTGGGAAACACTAAGTAGCCTGTGAAGCATTATGGGTATGAAACAAATAGTTATGAATTCATAGGATTATTTGTACAGCTTGTTTGGACAGCTGCCTGCATTTCAAAAACAGATTTCTAAAACTTTTTGAAACAACAAGACCTTTTGAAAATTATACTCTTCAAACTAACCTATTCTGTCTTTTTGGGCTCAGCAAGAATCCACTTTTCCTAAAGCAATTGTGATCATTGTGAACCCTTAAAGTCAGTGCCAACTGTGAAACATCAAGCGTTGAGTTTGTTTTAAGAGAACTGAAGAACCTTGAATTCATTCTAGCTGTTATGGGAGAAAACAGTTTTCCAGCTGCCTTTTATTTTTTAATTGTATATTGATTTTTATTTATTATTGGTGATTGTGTATGTACTATTTACCAAGATGCCTATTGATAGCTGGGTCATATGTATTTAGGGTTTTTTCATCATGTTTGATTTTTGAGTTAAAGTTAAATACCACCACTGAAATAAATGCCTTTAGTATAATCTTTACTATAGAACTCACTACAAGCCAGAGTTTTAAGCATCAGGCCATCATTTCAAGCTACATTTGATTGTGAGGAAATTAAATTGAAGACAAACCCATAGAGTCCACTTTATAGTGACTGGCTTATTTTGGTTATTGAATAGTCAAGATCATTTTAATGAATCCTGGAAGTCTGAAGAGCTGTCTGTAGAATGATACCACCAAAGGCCTGGATGGATAAATTTTCTGGTTTGCCTATATTAAGTTTATGCTTTTCTCCCCCTTAAAGGCAACTCTGATTAATAAACAGCACTAAGAATTAGTTTCTAGTTTAATGCAAAACAGATGTTGTTAAACCACTTGGGGTTGGGATCTTTTAATATTAAGTACTAATTCCCAAATAGGCCAAGTGCTTTTGGTGGGAGGTCCAGACAGACTGGCGTCAAAGGCTTTAGTAAACTTGCTGCCTAAATTGAGACCACCACTATATACCAGACATCCCCTTTTGCAAAATTGTTCCTGTGTCTCTTCACCTTTGGTTCCTTCTGTTCTCTAGACATCGCTGATAATAAGTTTGTTCAACAATTATTTTATACTATAAAAAGTAATCACTTTTCCTCTGTTAGTTTTTTAAGTGCCTATATACTAGATTACTAATGTTCTTTTTTTTTTTTTTCCTCTTTGGCAGAGGAGATTGAAGTGGATGTTGAAAGCACAGAGTTCTCCCATGGAGAAGTGGACAATATCAGTACCACCAGCATCAGTGACATTGATGACCACAGCAGCCTGCAGAGTATTGGGAGTGACGAGGGTTACTCCAGTGCCAGTGTCAAACTTTCTTTCACTTCCTAGAACCCAGCATGATATAACAGTGCAGGGCAAAACATTCACTGGGCCAATTCAATCCAAACAATCTCTTAAATTGGGTTCATGATGCAGTCTCCTCTTTAAAACTAAACTAAACAAAATCATACTTGAACAAAAAGGTTATAAAGACCTCTTTTTAAGCAAATACTTAGCAAAAGCGGGGTAGAGCCTCCCCAGCAGAACAAATATTCATAATATTTATTTTTGAAAATCACAATTTCTAATGGCAGCAGAAAACTTCCGTGAAATTTTCTTGATTTGATTTGGTTGATTTGAAATTGGAAATTCCATTCTTTTTTTCTTTTCTAGTTTGCTCCTAGTATATTGTGTAGACATATTTAAGGATGGGATTATGAACCCTTCCTGAGCTTTATGGTCCTAAAAACAAAATCAAATCTCTAGTGATGACAAGACAAGATAATCAGGCATTAATCTTGCATAGCTAAAGAGCTATTAATACTCAACCTGGGCCAGCTTATCACAAGCCTGTGGATGATCAATTCTTTAATTAAAAAAATAAATAAAAGCTCATTTCATGCTCTGCAAAAGGAGAGACTCCCATGAAGCCTTTTGAAAGGGATCATCATGCAGCTCAGCTTTCTGTTGGATTCCATGCTAAGCAAGCTAACCTTATCCTGCCTTGTTAGCACTAGGGCACCAACCCAACCGCCAGCTCCACAGTTAGCCACCCTTTAGGCCCTTGGGCAGCATGGGGGCAGTCCATGCATGACAGCCTCTACCACACAGGGCCTGTGCATTTGGATCGAGGGGCCAGAAGGGGAAGTTCCACGTGCCTCTTTGTCTGCGTGGGCCAGAAGAGTTGTGCACGCAGATTAGCAGGCCAAGGTCTGAGCCACGGCAGCATTTTTATTTCAGATTTTTGATAACTGTTTGTATGTGTTGAAAACCAAAATGACATCTTTTTAAAGCTTGTCCATAAAAAACATAGATGTCTTTTGTAGTGGAAAAACGTGGGAAAAAATCGTCTATTTTGATGCAGCATTTGATAATGATAAAACACCTCACACCTCACTCTTTATAGTGCACAAAGTGAATGAGGTTTGGGCTAGGTAGAAAAAAGGTCAGTGCTGTTTTTGTTTTCTTTTATAATCATTATCTTTTACCAGCTTTTAACCATTTCATATCTATAGTAGACACACTATCATAGTTAACATAGTTAAGTTCCACATTTGTCTCATTTTAATGTAAAGATTTGCTTCCGGTTTTCTACAGGCAGGCAGTCTCTCTCCTTCCTTACAGTCCCACTGTGCAGGTGCTATGGTTGCTCTTATTAATATTTTCATACATGTTATTTTAAGCAAAATTTCTAGCCTGCACTTTGATGTCATGTATTCCCTTTGTCTTTCAAATTCCCAAGTTTTCCCTTGCTCTCTCCTCTCTCTCTTACCCCAGGAAGCCTTCTTGGAGACTTTACCCCCTGGCTCTTTGAACTTTGTATACTTTAAATAATTTAACTACCCTTAATTACTTAAAAAAAAAGCTTTATGATTTTCATAACTTATTGCTGATTTTAATGGGTTGTTAATTTCAGTCCTGTAGTTTTATTTTGTTTAGCTAGGGCTGGGCAAGGAAAAAGAAAATAAAGACAACCTTATTTAGCAGTGCAGTTGAGTTGTGTGTGTAATGTCAGACTATCCTTTGTAAAGTAGCACTTTAACAGCTTTCACTGCTTCTGTATATGAAGTGTACCATCTTGATCATACACAATGCCTCAGCATATACTTACTTGTTCTTGTGCTCTTCCTGTGCCTCCAGAGAATTTATCCTTGATTGTGCTATGTTTGAGTGAAAGAAATTCTTTGAAGTAGATGTGTGAAAAACTGCATGCCTTTAGAAGCCCATTATTAGAACTTGCTACTTCAGGTGCTGGAGACTTAAGGAAAAACATAAATTCATTTCTGTGGCCCAGGTAAATTATTTCTGGTTTCATTTAAAATTGCTCTTGGCTGGGTCAAAATATTGCTCTGTATATTGTAGTTGCTTACTTTGACTTTCCCAAGTAAGACAGTTTGAAGACTCTGCTAAGTACCATGGAAAGTAAACAGAAGCCAGTGACTAAGCTTCCATTTTGTTATTCCCATGGCATTCACTTGCATCACTTGCCTCGGGCTGGAATTTGGGACTCCATTCAGGTGAACTTGAGGTGCTGCCATTTTGTTGTATGTGTATTGGATGGTGGGCTGAGGAGCCTTTGTCACACACCTAGAGTACCTATTTCAACTGCCCCCTAAATTACTCCTTCCCTGGGTTTGTTTTACTTGGGGGAGGGGAGGTGGATTGTATGAGTAAGAAGTATTAATTTTTTAAAAGACAAATCGACTTTGAAGATACAAAAGTTAATTGCAAGAAATAAAAATTGTGAACGAAGAATACCTGAGTGCTTTTTGTACCACCCTTCTCTATGAAGGAAAAAAATACAAACAAGCATCCACACTTCGAGAGGCAACTGTTATCGACATGTCTGTGTTGATACTACTTCAGTAGTCCAGAATTAATGGCAGTTTGAATCTTTGCCAGTTCTAGAACTGAAACAGGTGCTTTTCTGATTGATAACTCTTCCTAACATAACTGCACATGGTTTATTGTGTGTGGTAATCTTTAACTGCTTCAGGTAGGACACACAGCCATTTGTCACTTATCTGTTCTCCAAATATCATTTTTAAGGGATCCCTTTGGTAGCACATACTCACATTGAAAACAAGTCTGAAGTTCCTGTTTAGTCCCAACTGACCTGACCTAAGGTATCCTGTATGTAAAACACCTGAGTGATGATGGTACAGGTAAATCCTGTCTCAGCGCATGTTACCAAAGATTCAGATGATGTCATTGTTAGTTTCTGATTAGAAAAGGCTGTAACTCCGCCAGTGACCATGATAGCTTTTAGGATTATGAAGGCATTTTTAGTGATGATTATTGAGGCAAAGCTCCACACAGCTTCCTGGGTCATTTCCAATGAGAAAATTGTTTAGCCCCTTAGGGGAGGTTTTCTGCTAAGTTTTTCTTTTACTTGGAGCAACTAGCTGCCTTTTTCTTTCACCCTCCACCGAAAAAATTTCATACTCTCTACCAAAAACAGCATAATATGGTAAGAACAAGGGTTTTGGTCACTTTAATTCTCAGTTCTAGTATTTGTTAAGGACCCTGGGCAAGTTACTTAATTTCTTCATGGAGACTGTTTTTCCTGAAAAGTTGTGATAAATACTACCTCTATCTCAAAAGGTTGTAAGGATTAAAATTGATACGCGTAAATTACTACCCCCTCTTCAGTCTAGGAGTTTGTAGCACCAAAATGGTATTAAGAGGTATGTACTTCTCTACTTCCTCTGATGAATGCAATCTTCTAATCTCCCCATCCTTGATCATGAGTTTTAGTTACTCTGACTGTAGGTCTTGCAGAGGACTTTCTATTAAATAAAATGGTTCGTTTTCACAAAATTCCATGGCAGGTTATACTTTGTAAGAAGTCAAGTTTGATGTCGTATAGAATTTTTTAAATAAAGCCTTTATAAGATTGATCGGTGTTAGTGATTCCCTGATCTTTCTAAAAGAGGGGAGCTTGAGTGTGTCATTCACTAATAGTAACCATTGCATAATTGAATGCTCCAGTTAATATTTAGTGCTCATCTTGCGGGGGGGGGCGGCGGGCGGGGGCGGGAATCTTCCTGTCTCATATACCAGATCTAACAGCAAACCAGTTTTCTTGTGGAATACATCTGATTCTTTTAATCAGTCAATATAATTCAAAATACATGTACCGGCTGACAACTTACTTCTTGGTTCTGTTTTACCTTTATACAGAATCATACATTAACAAGGGAAATGGCTTTAAATGGAGCTCTTTTAAAATAACCAGCTAATTTCCTAGAATTTTGTAATTTTTTTTCATTTCCTCAATCTCTGAGCTATGGAAGAACACTTAAAGTCTGTATTGATAGGGTAATATTGGGTTAGCCAAAAAGTCCTTTTACTGTCTGTAAAATAAGACACATTTTTTTCATTTTCACCAATAACTTTATTGATTTGGGTATTGTGTGTTGGCTATCTCCCGCTATTGGCTTCTAGTTGTGTAGAGGCCATTGGTGCTCTGAACATCTTCTAATGCCTAAGACAGCTCAAGAGCAAAGATTTGGCCAAAATGTCAACAGTACCAAGAAACTTCGCAAACCACTGTTGACATGTTCCATTAGTCACAGCACTTTCCCCAAACAGTGCACAAATCTTTTTCCCCATTTCAGTTGCATTTTTGCCTTTCTTGAAATAAGCAAAATATGCCAAAACTGTTGTGTATTTTCTTTCATCTTCAATATTAAAATGGCTGCACAAAAAATTGCCAATTTTGATTTTTTTAAACACGCTGATGTGACAGCTATCACAATACATTCTTACAAAATTGTTTCAACTGAAGTTAAAGACAGTTAAGCACCTACATGGCTATTGTATTGAAAAACTAAAACTTTTTGGCCAGCCCAATACCTGGGACATTTATTTTAGATTTTCAAACCAAGACCCAGAATAGCACTGTGAAAACAAAACCTAAGTAAAACATCTATAAAGTGTATATAAATACTACAAATTTAAGTCATTGGTTTCTTCCAAATTACCAGCTTCATCACACTTTGAAAGCTAGGCCAACTAAACCTGACAGTACTTTAGGAGGGCAAAACTGGGCAAAAGGAACCAAAGGGATCCTGCTTCCTGCATACTTTGGAGCAAGAACAACTGGACAATTACCATCTATTAAAGACTACCCTAGCTGCGGCTCTCAGGCTTCAACTCCAAGGACTAAAGAGTCAAGCGTTTTCTCCAAGCCTAAATTCTTTGTTTCTCTGGTCAGAAATGCACTGCACTTTGCTAAAATGAGTACAGGGCTTGAAATGGGGCCAGGGCGGGGAGGGAATAAAAAGCATATCAGTTTCACTGAGAAAGGGAAATCATGAGCCAGCAATCGACTTTTGGCCTCAAGCTGAAAAAGAGCTCTTCAAACAAAAGGCAAACCTTTTCTCATAATGAGTATAACCCTGGCTTCAGCTGTGCTCTTAAAAAAGACTGAGGATACAAATTATAATTTTAATACATCCAGTAACTTAAGTCTGCTCTGGTTTCATAAAAATGAACTGGTGAGGTGTTTGGTGGAAGTAAATTACCAGTTTTTATTTCCTGGGAACTGAAAGATAAGTATCTGTAATTAGATATTTTTAGCTAGTTGAGCTGTCAAGTACCACAAGCCCAGTGTTACTCTCAGATCTGCTTTGCTGCCCTCCAAGGCCACATAAGAACCACCTCTGTGTGTGTAAGCTGAAAGGCAGAAAAGGCTATTGAAGAACTTCACAGAAACCTACTACTATCCATCTTATGCTTTCTTTTAACATTTATTTTCGGCCAGGCCAAAACAAATTCTTAGTATGTCAATATTGGTTTCTGAACCTAAGAACATACGTATACACACATACGCTTTTTAAATATAGTATAAGAAGATTCCATTACTTGGGTTTCTGTTCAACTACTGTATTACCTGTTACTTTGCCTGCTATGCTCTTCTCCACTGCAGTAAAAATTGAGTTTAGCTTGCAACTCAAAAATCCTAAAGAATATTCACATTTACTTATAAATTACCATTTATAGTAATTGGTTGCTTCATAGTATATTTTAACACAAATTGATCAGGTATTTATTGAACTCTAAATTTAGATTTTAACTAAAACCTTGGTTTTAATATTTGTTTAATATCCAAATTAAGGCAGAGTAAAAGCAAAGCTTTAAAAATATTAGCTGAATTTGCAAATGATTATGTCACCTTTTATAATTACAATCTACAGACACAATTTACAAAAAAAAACAGTAACTTTCCTTTGTTATCTGGTTTGCCTTTTTTAAAAAAATTTATTTTTAGAGGAGACGAGAAAGAGCAGGAGAGAAAGCTCAATGTGTGGTTGTCTCTCATGTGTCCCCTACTGGGGACCTGGCCTGCAACCCAGGCATGTACCAACTGAGAACCAAACCAGCGACCCTTTGCTTCATAGGCCTGTGCTCAATCCATTGAGCTACACCAGCCAGGCTCCTTTGCTTTATTAAAGGTGAACACACTCAAGTTAAAATTGCACTGTGAAGGAAACATGGGACACCCTTGTGTGAAAAACAAGGTTTTTTAAAAATGAGTTACAGTAAACAGATGCATTTCATTTTAATGCCTGGTCTTCATAATTGGGCTAAGAAAACTGCCACTAAAGGTAATTTTTCCTTCATCTCAAAAATTAAGATGATTACAATAGCTTTATTAACTCAGAATATCACAATGGCAGAGTAAACCTACTTTTGCCCACACTTGTATTTACTCCAAAATGTGGATCTCAGCCAGGAATGCACATCAGAATCACCTGTGGAGTGACAGCTATACCTAAGCTTAGGTCTGGAGTAGTACCGAGGAAGCCCTATTTTAAAACAAGTATAACCGGTACTCCCTTCACATTAAGAATTGTGCCCTAAGATATTGTAATATAAAATTCTTAAACTTTACTAGCATATACTACTTAAGTTTGGTAACTGGACATTTCAGTAATGTTTACAATTAGGGGCCATAAATTGTAAGCAATGGGTATTACTCATTTTAATATGAATTACTGTTCAGATTAAGGAAGAAGATCAGAAATTCACCACTACCACTCTGCACAGTAACAGCCAACACTTCTATAATGCTTACCATATGCCAGGTACTCTATCTACTAAGCACTTACACATATTAACTTAATGAGCAGAATTATTCATTTTACAGCTGAGAAAACTGAAGCAGCAAGGAGTTAGGCACACAGGTAATAAGGGGGCCAGGATGCAAACACAGCAGTCTGGCTCAAATCCTTGCTAACATGACCTTTCTACATGTTAATTTTAAAAGCATGTTATCTGTGATTAATACAAATTTTATTTTTAAAAATACATATATTGGAGGGGAAGGGAAAGAGAGAGGGAGAGAAACATCAATGTGTGGTTGCCTCTCATATGCCCCCCACTGGGGACTGGGTCCACAACCCAGGCATTGTGTCCTGACTGGGAATTGAACCATGACACTCCGGTTCACAGCCCATGCTCAATCCACTGAGCTACACCAGCCAGGGCGATTTATACAATTTTAAATTGTTTATTTGGGGGTAGTAGGACTGTTCCTTCCTTGAACTCTTCAGTAACACAATGAAATGTCAAGTTTTGAAAAGACGCATGCAATCATAGCTACTTGGGGGCCCTAAGTGACTAACCATTGCATCTGTCAATTACCAAGCTTGTCTAGTCTCATTTCTTAACAGAACCCTAAATTTTGTAACAAACTTCTTAAGACCAGGTGTAATAGTTGGTTTCAGAACACTGAGAGCTTAACCACCTTCATTTGAAAGATACTACTGGTATCATGAGATGCTTCTCATTAAGCATCTTCTCAACTTTAACACAAGACAGGTACTCTATCACCCCAGGCATCCTAACTTTTTAGTCCAGAGACACTATCATCCTGACACCTAAGTCTTTGACACAAAGACTCCTGATCTCAATGTGTATATATGCCTACCTTTTTTTAAAATGTCATAGAATATGATCACCTTTACTCCTTCTTGTCCTACTGCAAAGCCCTCCAAAAAAATTAATATGCAGAAAAGGTCCATAGGGTCAAACAAGGTACAAGTCTCAACACATAAGCACCAGGTGAATGGCAATCATACTAAAATAATTTCACCTAAACCCATTTTGTGTGGTCACTCAGTTATGCCAAATGTTTGTCCTGTGCTTTTTAAATAAAAGGGTTCCATTGCAATCCTTCAAAGATATTACTGATTATTAGTGTATTACAACTAGTAACAAGAACATCAGTATTATTTAATAAGTTTTTCAGGCTAAGTGGCCTATTTTTTTACTGTAAGTTGGACCTTGTATTTAAAACACACTTCACCTTTGATTCTATCCCTGTGACCATAAGTTAAAGGAAGTAAAAATCTCCTGGGTTGGGAGGTGCAGGAGCATGATGAAAAATTCTGCCTCTCACCACTATCCTCCTGAAAGTTTCAACTTAACAAAAAATGAAAATTCATGAAAAAAAATTCTCCCTTTTATCAAAAATTTACCAACTCTATACAAAGTTCAAGTCCTTGAAATAAAACTGATTTAAAAAAAAAACTGATTTAACCTTTAGAATCCAATTTCTTACATCTAAATGGAAGAGGAATACAAAGGATTTATTGAAATCTTTATCATACTCATTCTCTTCTGTGGAAATGATGTATGCAAGTATACTGAGGCTTAATTATTATCAATGCTGGCAGCTAAGCCTTTACCTTTCTGAGGACACACCCTGAAGATTTTAAAAACATTTTATTTAATAAAAGTTAAACATACAAAAACTGAAATTAACACATCCTAAAAAATCACCATCTTCCATTAATAGGAAGATCCTTTGCTACGCATATATTTGGCTTAAACTCAACTCAGGATAACTGTGATGTTCACTTACACCAGGAAATGCTGACAACTTGATCTAGTTAACAAAAATTCCAAATTCAGCTAACATGAACATAATGTACAGGGGAAATTATGGTCAGATTAATGCACAAGAAATACAGTAAATTTTTAATGATGAAACATTCAGTACTCTTGTTCATTAATTTAGCCTTGCTTTATGTTTTTTTTGTTTTTTTACAAAAATAGTATCTACACTGTATACAGGGCTGGCTATACATCAGCTTTTTGTTTTCTCATATAAACATTTCACATCCAAAAAAATGATACCACTACCGTAAGTGAAAAACCAACACAGGAAAAAGAGCAAATGTATAAAAAAGAGGTGGGGGGGAGGGGGAGAAAGACATTAGAAAAGGCAGCTGGTCCTAAATGTGGTTTCTTACATAAAACTAAAACTTAATGAAAAGAATAAAAGGGCTGGATCAATTTTAGAGATGGCTTGGGAAACAAGTTAAAAAGGAAAAACCTCAAAACAGACTTTGCCATTTAGAAATTAATCTATTTTTAGGTTTAACTGGCCAATAGCTAAATTTAAGATAAGGAAAAAAATGATCTCTGTAGAAGTTTGGTGTTTTGCCTTGATGTTCCACTGAATTGCTAGAATATGTGGCAAGTTCAAAGGTTTTGAAAGTTCCAGGTTAGGACTTTACAAAAAACATATGCCATCAGGTTAAGTGGGGGCGATATTAGGAAGATCAACAATTCATTAAGTGCTTTATTTAAGCAGCATCTTTCTAGAAGAGTTGCTCTACCCAACAAACTGAGGAAACTGTGGTGGTGGTGGTGGTGGTAGTAATGAAGAAAGTTAAATGAATAGCAATGATCAAATATGCAATTTCTTCAAGTTTCATTCTATTGAAGTCAAACAATGACAAGGTATCTTCCTTACTCATCTAACAAATAATTTACCTTTAGAAAAATATAAGGATAAAAAGGTAAATGTAAAGCCCTGCAGAGATGAAATCCAACAGTTTTTCTGATTATTGAGGCATCAAATGCCTGACATTGTATTTAGAGGTATCTTGATACTGTGTCATAGGTTTATCAGCAATTCCACAAGTTCCTACTCCAACTTTGCCAGTTACGCTCTCAGGTGAAGCAAAAATACTCCTCTTTACCTAGGGGAAACAAAATAGAAATCACTCTTGATTAGTTTTGGAAACAGTAAAAATTGCAAAATACACTTAGAAGGAAAAGTATATCAAGGGAACCTGAGTGCTCTTTTAAATAAAATCTACCAGTGATGTCCAATATAAGGCATGTTGACAGAGCAGGTTATGGTTCAACACATACTCCCTTCTAAGTGGTAAGAGAGCAAATAACTTTTCAAATTTTAGTTTACAGATTTAAAAAAAACCTAGATCTTTTGTAATTCTTGATATAAACTCTCATTCATAGTGTTTCTACTACAGACAGTGGCTAATGAAGATTTTTTTCAATGAGCCAAATTGAAAATTGAAGAGGATTATGAATTTAAGATCCAGTTATATATTTCTTAAAGTCTATGTACCTCTTTTTTCATTTTAAAGTTACTTTAATGACAGTTGTACTTTTCAAATTTATAAAGTATGACAAAAGGATTTACTAACCTGGCCTTTTTTGTTTTTAGAATAGGCTCTGTTGTTAAACTGCTGCCATTTCACTTTCTGGTCCTCTCGCTCCTGCTCGAGTTCTTTTATTCTCTGTGCTTTTTTCAAAGCTTTCTTCTTTTTATATTCACGCTGCTGGGCAATCATTTCTTTTCTGTGTGGAAGTAACAACTAAATGTTAACTCTTAAGATTAATAAGATGACTTCCTTGGGTATATTTAGAAGTACAAAAAAAAAAAACCCTCAGAAAACTAATAAATTTACATATTCTTCTTCCCATGAAAAAAAGGCACTAACTTCACCCAGTGCTAACAAATGTTTTTTCAAATACATAACATCCCTGGAAACTCTGAAATATAACTGTACTCTATTACCCACTGCAGATATTTCAACTATGACTTTTTATCTGATGTCTACATAGCTTTGGCCAGTTGTGTTTTACCAATGAGTGTCAACAGATGTCTAAACCTTGTACCAATTTCTAAAAATGGACAATTAGCAAGTATAATAATACGACATCTGGAAAAAGTGTACGAAGAGATTAGATGAACATAAAACTAATTTCACTTACACTGGAAGAGCACAGCAGCACAAAGGGAAATCACAGCTAACAATTCTTAAAAACTGGGGTTTCCCAAAAATAATAAATAAGATCAGAGCCCAAAGCTCTCACAATAAGTCTGTTCAGTCAACTGACTTCTCAACAAAAAAGGAAGAAAGAGGTCCGTAAAAATAGGCAATAAGCCCTGGCTGGTGTGGCTCAGTGGACTGAGCGCTGGCCTTCAAAGGGTCACCAGTTTGATTCCCAGTCAGGGCATATGCCTGGGTTGTGGGCCAGGTCCCCAGTAGGGGGTGTGCAAGAGGCAACCACACATTGATGTTTCTCTCTCTTTCTCCTCCCCTTCCTGTGTCTCTAAAAATAAGTCTTTTTTTAAAAAAAGAGGCAATAAGATCTAGATTCCTTTGAATCATATAATCATCACTATGAAGCTAAGTGTGACTTTTTACAGATATCAAAAACTAAATATAGAGATGTTATGTTGTTCTACAATCTGATTCTCTTACTGAGATGTTCAAACATTCTAATAGGCAACAATTTTCATAAATTCAAATATATTTATATAGTAACTTAAAGTTCTGAAAACTCTTGACAAATCCAAAAGACAGCCAATTGTGGCATATATGCAGAATTTAACCAAAATATTGTTAATTCTGCCTCTTGAACACTTGTCAAACTGTATACTTCACCATCTTCACTCTACTACTCCCTGGGTTCAGGCCACCATCTATACCTGGGGATTACAGCAGTGGTGGCCTTCTCTCTCCTGCCAGTGACCAATGGAAAGCCCCGATCTGATCACATCCTATCTCTTCCACCCAAAGCCCATCAGTGGCCTTCAAGCTTTTTATCATTTGGCTGCTACCTCTCTAACCACTTCTCTTGTCAAACCACCCATCCTCAAGCCCTAAGTTTTCACCATAGGAATTTCTCTGTTACCTCTGTGTTCCCACCTTATTTCCCTTTTTAAAAGTGAACATTACCAAGACTTTACTACTGGTCAAGAATAATATTGCATGCTTTACTAATGGTATTTAATCTTCACAAGCCCATCAGGTAGATACTATTGTCTCTGTTGTACAGATAAGGAAACAAGCAGCTTGTTCAAAGTCGTATCTTCTAGGTCTTTAGCTGGCTAACTCCTTTTCAGTCTCTAAAGTTTAGATGTCATTTTCTCAAAGATACTTGCTCTAATGACTAGGTGAAGTTTAGGTACCTTGTCTGTTTTGTTTCCTTAAAGTAACCACTGTGTTTTCTTCGTAACTCCTGTACTTTACTATTGAAGTTCTTCTTTAGGTATTTTGTTGTCTAGACTATAAACTTAGTCAGACTGTAGCTGGTATAGCTTAATGTATTGAGTGTGGGCTGTGAACCAAAGGGTGACTGGTTTGATTCCCAGTCAGGGCACATGTTTGGGTTGTAGGACAGGTCCTCAGTGGGGGCCACGTGAGAGACAACCACACACTGATGTTTTTCTCCTTCTCTTTCTCCCTCCTTTCCCTAACAATAAATAAAATCTTAAAAATAAAATAAAATGATAAAAATAAATAAATAAACTCAGTCAGAACAAAGCCCAAGTTGGTCTTCACTGTGGTGGAATCCCAGCATCTGGGTTAGTGATAGTATATATAGTATCTGCTTAAGAAATATTTATTAAATGCCAAAGTGGGAACCCCAATGTCCTTACCTTACCTAAGCACACAAATATAGAGAATAAATGACCTTATATTGCCAATTTTCAAAATAATGGTAAACAGTATTATCATCTTCTTACCCTAAACTAATCTGCACAGAACCTGCAGCCACCTCAAATACCTAACTGAAAGGCTAAAAAGTCACTCACTTTGACATGGGTTTGCTGCCACTGTCCTCCTTCGCCTTCCTTCCTTCCTCTACAGGCTTGAGGTTCAACAGTGGAGTCACTTCAGCATTGCCATAGCCAGCAAAGGTGATCGCAGCGGTGCCGTTTTCTTCATCTATCTCCTCAATCTCCGCTTCATAACACCTGTAAAGATATCATGGCTGTAAGCAGGTGAGTAAAGGTTTAATACTCAGCCTACAAGACTTATACTGCAGTGATTCAACAATTACATGTGTCTAAAACGAAAGTTCTATAATCAAGTAGTCCTTAGAAAAAGTTAATGCAGAAGAGTGGCTGGAGTTTGCCATCTGCTATCCTAAAAGGAAGTCCTATCAATGCTGCCAGGCATGTCAACTGAATGTGCTTTAGTCGATCGCTTTGACAAAAGATATTTCTTATAGGAGTACTTTCAGTGCATGTACTTCATAGGCATCTAACACAGCCAACCATTCACTCAATTTTCAAGTTGAGGAAAAAAGAATTTAGATTATTTTTTTATATATCCATTCATTTTTTCTCTAGTTTTCTTGAGAACATAGAGAATATGAACAGAGAAATATTAATATTTCTCTAGTTTTTTTCTCTAGAATCCTAGCCATTCTTCTGCCTCAAAACGTAATCCACAGGTAAAAATTAAACTGTATTAATTTTAACCACCCAAGAATCAAATTGGCTCTATTAACCATATTGGCTATATAGGAAGATTAAATAAAACAGGGTAGTTTAAACTGAATAAAAAATCTTACCATTGTATTTTATTATTTCATGTTATAGTTAGTTTTTTTTCTACACTTACTGTCCATCTTCACTCCAGACTGCCATACACTTGTCCCCTACTTTCCATGAATGAGTAGGCTGAGCAGAAGCAAAACAGTCTGAACTTGCAAGAGTTTCTGAAGGTTGAGTTGACAGAAGATCTTTGGTTAGTTCTATAACTTCCTAAAAAGGAAAAACAAAAACCATAACACTATTTTTATAATTCACATTGTCACCTATTTTCAACAAGCAAGTTCTTTCATTTTTTGATGACAGCTCTCTCACCATATAGCACTTATTAAGTACTCTACACATTTATTTGCAGTTCGTAACAATATTATAATGTAGGTACTGTGATTATCCCCATGTAGAAACTGAAATACAGTTATTTCATACAGTGGTGGACCTGGGATTTAAACACAGACAGCTGCCTTTCAACTTAATTAACCTTAAATACTAATAAAAATAGGATAGACTTGAGGCTTATATGGTGTATTTTTTCTAAGTGTCAATTTTAGCTATATAGATCTCTGTAAAGATAAGCAATAGTAAATTATAAAAGACTGAGCTAGAGTCAAGATCACTTTAATCTCACATCACTGTCACATATATTTCATGTAACTATTGTTTTATAGAACATACCACTATTAACTGCCTAGTCAACATGCCCCACAGCCCCCAAAGCCCCAAAACATTTGAAGCAGCCTTATTAATAACAATGTTCCTGCTCATACACATTTCTTCTAAAATACTGTAGACATATATAAAAAGCCATTAGTCTTCCTATTCATTTACTATAAAGCTTACCTCATCTGGGTAAGCAAGTTACTAGGTTATATTTAAAGTATCCCAATACCTTAATGTTAATAAGCACATTAACACAGCTTCATTTAAAAGGAAAAATAAATGTTCACACACACAGTAAGTGATATCCTTCTGTGTGGCAAATATTTTTGGTAATTCAGGCTTACATTTATTGGCTTCATTTGAAGACATTTGGCAGGGCTAGTTAAAAAAAAACATAAATAGTACAAATAATAGATCTGCTACCTATCTACTATATTTTTATGCTAATGAAGACTCATATTATGCATCATCTTACTTAAGAACCTACATACATATTTCCCACTACTGCATATAAAATACCTTCAAACATCACCGTGTATGTTTGGGGAGAAAAATGAACTCTGTACTGAGTTTTTTCTAGCTCCCATTGAAGTTTTATAAATAGTAGTTCTAGTTCAGTAGCCAAGAACATTAATTACCTCTTGCCTACGAGTGTCAATCTTCCTGGCTATTTCTGAAAAACTAGTATTTGAGCCTAAAAACGGAGGGATGTTAAATCCTTGGAGAAAAGTCAGTTTTGTTAATTTAAAAATTTTGTGGAAAAAACAAACAAACAGAAGACTCAGATTTGAATTAAAAATTTAGTAGAGTAGTATCTTTAGTAAAGTTTTATTAGGTGCCAAGTAGCCATTCAAATATCTTTTAATTTGATGTTTCTTTGCAAATAAAGCATAAAGCAAAGAACTTCCAAATAAATATAACAGGTACTATACAAAGCAGATTAAATTATCTAGTCTTGTTCTTAATTAATCACTTTTAGGGCCAGGAATGTAATCTAATGTAAGCCCGACTCAAGAACCCATACAATCTCCTGAAATGTTATACATGTTATAAAACATTTTCAGAGCACTGGACTGAAATGACTTTTTAAAAAATCTACAACATTTATCCATAGTGGTCCTTTGCCATGTTTTACATATCCCTCCCAACAAACTCTGAAGACCCTTCTGAGTTTTTTTCTTCACATGTGCATATGGACCAAAGTATCAGAGAAACTATTTTATGTATGAGGGGGTTCTTAAAGGTACATACCATTAATTACTTTTCCTCCCCCAAGTCTGAGTTCTGAAACTGCTCCTTCATTGACAGATGGGCAGCAGTTACAGTAATCGGCAATTCCAGGAAGCATCAGATGTTGTGATCTACATATCAGCAGGTCAAAAGGGATGCACTCAAGCACTCTGCTTACTGAAGGAAGGTGTTTCGGGGATGCAGAGAGCCACTGTAATATATGAGACAAGTGACTTGACCCCTGCCTCCTTTAGAACCAGTTTTATTCAGCAAAACAGCTTAATAAATTATTTTTTTAATAAATTATTTTTTTGATTATCACAGACTGCCTGGGGAGCTTGTCAGCTAGCTAGCCTAGATTTTACTATACCCATTCTTTTAAGTAAAAAAAGAAAGGCAATTAGAACTTCAGTAGATCAATTTGTTGCCTGCTGAGTAAATGTATTCTATAGGAAAACCAGTATATAAGAGATAAAAATGGAAGCCTTACTGGCAGAATGGAATGAAAAAAGTACAGAAAGAGTATTTGCCATAAATCAAAGGCCTAACAAATTCATAACCAGAATAAGTATATTCCATAAGAGGAACACAAAAAAACAAAGGAGGCCACAAACTCCATGAGTCTGAACAGACTTTTTGGCAAGTATAAAAGCCAGAATTAAACATCAATGACCTGAGATATAGCCCAGGAAGCAGAGAAAAAAAATGAAAAATTTAAAACCTGTTTTAAATAGAAGCTGTAATTGGAGACAACAATTACTAGGTAGAAGCAGATATCCAAACACTGTTCTGCATTTTATCTAATCTTAAATGTTGCTTTTTGTAGTTTTTAGTTCAAAACAGACCTAAATCTAGTAACCAAAATGAAATTTTTTTCATGCTAGTTATGAGGAAAAGAAAATGTGATCAAGTTTGGTCAGGAAAACTTTCTGTATTATATTAGTACTTGAAGTGTTAGAACTTAAGCTTATAAACCTGTGCCATCTAATAAGGTAGCCATATGTGGTTATTACACTAAATAAAATTAAAAACCCATGTTTTTTTACCTTAGCCATATTTCAAATATTCAATAGCTACATGTGCCTAGTGGCTACAACACTACATAGTAGATATAGAACATTCCCATCATTACAGAAAGTTCTATTGTACAGGGCTATTCTAAATGGTTATAGAAAGTTTTATAGATAAATGACCCCCAAGGCATTACTAACTCAGTCCTAAATAAGCCATTTATGTGCTTACTACAAGGCCTCCCACATCAGCCTCTCTCTCTACAGCACTTCCACTACAGTTTAAGTCATTACACGGCAATTCTGCCCAGGCTCTGACAATCTATTTTAGATGCATTAGAAAGACCTCATAATCATAATGCTGTTTCAACTTTCACTTGCAACTTTGCCTCCACCAGTGCCACACAGACCCTTTCTCCCAATATACACATTGCACACAATCTTTCATTTTCTTCAAAGAAAAAAATAATTGCTTTTAAAATGGTAAAAGATAACGGGGGCATGCCCAGATCTCTCTTTGAGACAAGAAGTTGGCCTATGAGTGGGAAAAAGTTTTCCCCAAATATCTTCCTTACTGACTACCACCCTGAAATCTACTGGCCTGATTTCCATATACTGAAAAGGGATCCTGTTTTCTGTGTTTTTAAAAATAAGGTACCATTGTAACTTCATGTAATTTATCCTAAATCTAGAATTTGAACCTGAAAATATTCAACATCTTAATCATGCCCAGATAAGCTCTTCCACAATCCTGAATCTGGACCCCCATGCCAAATAATTTTCATTTGTTTGAACTTCTATTATCCTTAAAATATTAATAATTTTAATGGGCAAAAGATGATAAAAGAGAAAAAGGATTACTTAAATAAGACATAGATGATCAAAGTTCTGCACTGCCTCAGTAAAGGAAGATCATCTAATCAAAACACCTTTTAAAACTTTCCAAAACATCAGGTTCAAAATTTTAAGTTCTCAAATTTGTTAAGATGAAAAGTCATATATATTTATAAATCTTATTGTGTGATGTTTTTATTAATCAACTTAGTATTGGCTTTATTTTCTTAACCACCCCCTTCTACCAGCACATATTTTTAAAAGTAGGTGTCACACCTCCTGAACTCCCGTGAGTTAAGATCCCCTGAAAGATCCCTTTCACTTAGATTCAATTTAACTTCAACAAATGTCAACAACTATACTGTAAAACCTATACTTAAGTTCAAATATTATATGTTTATGCAGAAAATAAATTTGATTTTTAGTGTTTTCAACATAAGGTGTTATCCACTAGCTTTGTCACACACTCCTGTTTTCAAAGAATCTCGTGGCATTGAAAAGAATCTTAATCAGGTTTTATTTTCCTCCTGCAATTTTAGTTACTCTTTGAACTAAACCCTTTGCCAGGTCACTACATGTAAAAGCACTCCCCACTGTAAAGCTATATGTATCTCTTCTCTAATAAATTTGACAAACTTCTAAAGTAGACTTACTTTAAGAAATTGTAAGAATACAGGACTTACATAACAAAGGACAATGTTCTACTCATTTTGATGTATGCAAACCGAGGATGCAACACTACTTCTACAAGCCATGTATTCTGTGGGAATATACACAAAAGGAGGGGTAAACACCACCTTCCAAGGGATGCTTTGGATATCCAGAGGATAAGCATATATAAATCATTGAAAAAATACAGAACTACTCTTTTTTTGAGTAATGTAACTATTAGTGTCCCCTCATACTTACTTGTAAATCTTTCTTTAGTTTTAATAAATCTTCATTTTCTCCATTTCCAGACAATGCAGCTTCAACTTGCTGGAGTTGAGCTTTGTAGCTTGCCAGCTGTTTTGCTAGATCCTCTGACATCTGGAGGGAAAAAAGGGTAAGGCCATGAAAACTGAACAAAACAAAACAAAAGCACCATAAAGAAAATAATTCCCTGTCTGCCTGAATTAACCTTACCAATTTTGCTCCCAACTCACAATTCTCTGCAGCTTAGTGTATCACCATCACCTCTACTGGTTAGTTCAGAGAAAAGCTATCTCTCTAAGCCAAACCACCAACTTCAAGGGAATGGATTCTGAATACCATAAACATGTCAGATAACTTCTATACAGAAAGAGAAACAGAAAACACTTAGTGATGAGGGGGAAAAGAAAATTTTTAATTTTCTTAAAACTCCTGTAATAAGGAAGGCACTGTGTTAGGCTCAAGTAACAGGGTTGGCATTCACCCCCACCCCCTCAAAAAGCACTAAAGCACTAATCTGTTGGAAGAGTCGAGACTCCAAATATATGCACTGAAGAATACTTCCAAAGCCAAATATAAGTCACTTTTAGATCAACCACACAAATACCTCTCTTTACACGCACTATTCAATTAATGAGTGTGTTTAGGTGTTCTTATTCGTGCAGATGAATTTCCTTCAATAAAGGAAACAGCACAAGTCCTCTCTCATTTAGATATCCCAAGAAACCTTCCTTTCACCAAATCAAAATCCTCCTCCTCCTGAGAATTTACCAGTGAATCCTTTCTCGAGGAGTAACAAACGCACAGGGTTTCAGAGGACCCTTCTCTGTCTTACAGTTCCCGTCCAACGACAGCCTGAAATCTGGAAGGGCTCCAAGGCGGCGAGAGGAAGCCGGGCTGCTCCCCCATCCACCCAAGACCTCAAAGCCCGCCACAACTTGGCCCATTATTTCAGATCTCCAAATCCAAGCATCACCTCCCTAGGAAAACGAACGCACGAAGCGATCGGACGCCCGCGAGGCCGGGACCCCACAGCCCCAAACAGGCTCCGCCCGAAACTACCGAGGTTGTCCTTCAGAGGCCTCCCGCGTCCCAACCCCACCCGACGGCTTCCACGGAATAACTAGGTTCTCCGCCACGGCCTGGAGGCTCCGACCAGGGGTGGGAAAGGAGGCCGGGGCTCCTAACACTCTCGCCGGCGCCCGGGCCTTTCCAGCGCGGCCGGCTACTCTGCCTGTGGCCTCCTACGACTGGGAAGAGACCGCGCCCGGCGAGGCCTTACTCTCTCCTTCACCGAGTTCGTTACCTTGCGTGGGGCTGGGGGCGGGGCGGCGGGAAGGGGTCGGGGCAAATGAGCCCGGGGGTAGCAGCGGCGACGGTGGCGGCAGCAGCAGGAAAAATCTCCGCGACGACAACAAGGCGACTGGTGTCGGAAGAACCCGGCCGGCGGTGAGGGGGAGGGGAGGAAAGCCGAGCACTAGCTGGAGGAAGACGGTGGTGGGTGAAGTTTCGCGAGACGTCAAAAACCATCGCGAGACTTGGCTAGGTTCACGTGACTCTTGGCGCCCAGTGGGCCGCCTTATTCGGGTTGAGGGCGCAGAGTGGGTGGGGTTTAGTCGGAAGGAAATGGCGTAGCTGGGCTGCGCCCGGTGCCGGGTGTAGGTTAGTTTTACTAGTTCCGGCTGGGTAGGGGTGTCCTGGGTTTGTTCTTTTGGTAGGGGGAGCTGTTGGTCTTTTCTTGAGGTTCCCGGGGCGTGACCGTGTGTATCTACTTTAGCGAGTAGTGCTGGGTGATGGGAATTATGGGGTTTAATGCAGCATTGGTACCGGTTGTTGGTTCTCAAAGTGTGGCCCCTCTACCAGTAGCATCGGCGTTGCCTGGTAATATATTACAAATGTAAATTTTTGTCAACACACCCGACCCAGACATGAATCAGAAACGCTGGGGCTGGGCTCCGCAACCTGTTTTAACAAGCACTCAAGGTGAACAGGTAAACCCGGTGTCCGCTCAAGTTTGAGAAGCACCGCTTTTTATAATAATCTCAGTAGTAGCAACAAAAAAAGTAAATTGTGGCAGAACCTATTGGTGTGGTTTGTTTCCAACCTATTTTGTTAGAACCTGTTTGGTTTAAATTCATTATATATGTTGATTGCTCACGATAGGGACCAATCACGAAGTTATAGTCCTAAGTGATAAACAGGAGTGTAAATACTTACTTTTGTGTTTAAAAGAAATGTCCGCTAAGTTTGTATGTTTCTAATGATATATTACTTATGAAACGTAAGTTCACAAACCTAGCTGGAGTTTTGAAGTGGAAACCAGATGTTTTCAATGATTACCCTTTATACTATTTACCATTTTTATACGTACATTTTCCCCCAATTAAACTAGTTATTAAAAAAAGATACAGACCCGTGACACAAAGAGGCTACTATATGAATTGCCAAAAAGGCTACTACGTAAATACTAGAAACTAGTTATAAAGAAGAATACAGACTTGTGACACAGGCTACTGTATGAATACCAGAAGGGGTCTTAAGAAGGCCCCTTCTAAAATGGACTAACTTGGGCTGTAACAACATCTTGCCTTCGTGTCCTCTTGGTTGGTTTGTTTTTCCTTGAAGGGGTCTTCCCTTTTACACCCCTATCCCTCCCATTGAGTCAGATAATCTGCAAGATGGAAACCAGGTTTGTAATGACTGGAGTGACAATTTGCAAGAATTGAAAATGCTGCAGAGGGCAGCAGTGCGTAGCTAAAGCAGAAAGACAAACCAGAAAGACGAACTTTTCCTTCATATATAGTAGAAATTTGTTTAAAATATGTTGTTTTTGACAACTGCTCTTTTCTAATTGTACTTATAAAATTAATCCCAGGAGGATCTTTCTTGAATATCAAATGAAATTTACAGTTGTGTAAAAGTCTCAAATAAGAACCCTTCATGAATCCCCCTAGATCAGAAAATAGGAAAGTATTCGTTATAAGCTCCAGTATAGGATTTTTTTTTATCATTTTGATAGTTTTCGCTTTGAGGATTGCTTTTTTTAAAACATTTTATTTATTTATCTTTAGAGGGGAAAGGAAGGAGAGAGGGAAAGAAATATCAATGTATGACAGCCTCTTGTGTATCCCCTGCTGGGAACTAGCCTGCAGCCCAGGCATGTGCTTTGACTGGGAATCAAACCTCGATCATCTGGTTTGCAGGCCCACCCTTAATCCACTGAGCTACACCAGCCAGGGCATGAGGATTGCTTTTAATCTCGCCCTCTGTGCAACATAGATTATACTTGAGAAGAAAAGCTATATTGAATATTAGTTCCTCACAGAGAGATTGTGATTATAACTTATAACCGTTGTATACCAGGTACCATTTTTACACATATTCATTAAATTTTCATGGTGATTCTTTGTGCAGTTGAAGACAAAACGGGAGCAAATGTGAGCTCTGACTTCAGAGTGATACTTCAAATAGGTATTCTGACTTCCCACCTCCTTTGAAGTGTCAAAATATACTTTCAAGTGTCTGATTTTTAAAACATTCTCATTCAGATTTAGTCATCTTTGTTCTTCAAAAAGAGCAGTATTTAAAATCTCTAGTTCTTTAAGCCTGGTATTTATTTAATTGAAACCCAGTAGTAAATGAAATTTAAAGACTTCAAATTATCATTAGAATACACAGCTATTCCACTTTCACTTCCCATTTCAAAGAAAATTTCAAACTGCTAAAGAAAATTAAAGTATAGCAGCTGCCTTTGGAAATGTGCCAATCCACTGCAGGGCACAATAAACTAATGCGTGTTGGTTAAATGGGAGATTGCATTCTTTAATTTAGCTTTTATGGTGTTCCTTCCTAACTAAGAGTGGCCCCAGATTTGCCCACATTGTTTGCTCTTGACAAATGCCTAAGGAGATGAATTAGAGATATGTACATAGTCATAATAACTGCTTATGTCCTTTGTCCTCTTTAGTCAAGTTTGAATGTTTGCATGGAGATATGCTGCAGGGCAAGCTACTGGCTTTTTGTACTTACTGAGTATTTTGGAGTACAGTGCATTGAAAACATACCCTGGGATGACTCTTACAAGGCCTCGTTCCTTTAAGGTTTGTGGGAAAACAACCTTAGATAGATGCTGACCAGTGCAGGTGCTCATCAGTCATAGCATTTCTGAGTTTGTTCACGTAAGTCTGCCCTGCCTTGCTAGTCTCGGGTGTGCATGTTCATCTGTTCTGTTTTATGTGTACCCCTAAAGAAGAGGAAAGTGTGCCACTAAAAACAGGAAGCAAGGATTCTTTCAGTTTGGAAAAGATTATAACCAGAGGCTTTACCAAGATCAGAAATGGCAGAGTCATTCAAAGTTCTTTAGACCTCTTTGAAAGTGGTGTTTAATAGTACTTTTACATCCATTCATTGTGGGATATATTCTGAGGGCAAAAAGAACAACAAAAAAATAGCATCACATATGTCTTGCTAATAGTACTATTGGTAATGTAATTTTGAAACTCATGTCTAGTATAGATAAAGTAAATAATATATGTTGTTTAAAACCCTTAAGAAGGCCCTGGCTGGTGTAGCTCAGTGGATTGAGCGCGGGCCTGTGAACCAGACAATTGCGGTTCGATTCCCAGTCAGGGCACATACCAGGGTTGCAGGCCGGTTCCCTGCAGGCCAGTTCCCAGCAGGGGATGCACGAGAGGCAACTGTACATTGATGTTTCTCTCCCTCTCTCCTTCCCTTCCCCTCTAAAGATAAATAAATAAAATCTCTTAAAAATAAATAAGTAAATAAATAAATAAATAAAAAGTTAAAAAAAACCCTTAAGAAGAAATAAAAATAGAAAATATAGTCTGAGGGGGAGTGCTCTGATGACTTGTTTATATATAGATACAGGGTCCAGCACAAATAATGCCCCTTTTTAATTACAAAAGTCTTTTATTACAAAATCATAAGCATGTAATTCTGTAACAACAATATCATACTCAAGCACACCATATGACATTTTAGGTGAAATGTTCAAATTGCTGTCCATCTCCTGCATGACATTCACATACCCTACCAACTGTACTCAAGCAAGCCCTACTTCTACCAGATCCTGTATATTTCTTAGATGTAATGTCACACAGTGGAGAGTGCCCATATCTTGATATCTAGATGCTGTCCCCCACAAAAGAAATAGCATGTCTCAGAGAAATGGTTGATTTCAGGTCTCAGATCCAGAAAGTACAAAAGTGAGCCTAGAACATCTTGCCAGAAAGCAAGGAAGTGTCCCCAGACTAATAGAATCCAGTCAAAAGGTCACAGACCAGCTAGAGGGGACTTCTCTAGCCAAATGTGAGTTAATATGAGTCTTAAAAAGAATAATGACTGCCATTTATTATCAAAGCATTGAGTATGTTTTTAAAATTCGTAAGTCCAGAGTGACACTCAAAACCAAAGGTGGGAGAGGGATTTTTTCTTTATAGAAGAATGCGAGCCAATAAATGTAGATGAAATAATAGAAATGGAAAAATTACCATGTGTAGTCCCCAGTGACGTGGGCACAGGTTATCCATAGAAGCTAAAACCTATCTTATAAGAAGAGGCAGGGGAAAGCAGGATGTTCACACTGTCAGAGTATCACCCCTCAGAGTACTTAGTTAAAAGGGGAAGATACACCTTATAATGAAGAAATTCAGCAGCCACCAACTTAACCTAGTGATCACACCACCACTAGCGGTGGAACAAACTGAGTGTATAGGCCTTGCGATCTGATACAGTAATGATGTTCCAGCATCACCTATGAAGGGATCTTGGCAAAAATACTTAACCCGAATATAAGAAAGCCTTTCATTTTAAAGTTTTTATTTATTTTTAGAGAGGAAGAGGGGGAGAGAAACATGAGTGGGCAAGAGATATATTGATTAGTTGCCTCTCACACTCCCCCAACTGGGACTCAGCCCACAACCCAGGCATGTGCCCTGACTGGGAATCGAACTGGTGACTTTTCTGTTCACAGGTCAGCACTCAATCCACTGAGCCACACCAGCCAGTGCCAATCAAACCTTTTGACCCAACTTGTAGTTTACAGGAAATACAGGAATAGAGGAACAAGTAAAATGACTGTGAGGGAAAACTCAGGCATATCCAGAATGTGGGACATTCCAAAAGAAAACTGGCCTAAATTATTGAAAAGTCAATGTCATTAGAAATAGTGGAAGACTGTTCTAGACTGAGACAAAGGACAGATCAATTAAATGCAATGGGTAAATCTTGATTGAGTCTTGGTTTGGAAAAATAGAACTGTAAAAGAAACTTTGAGGACACTTTAGGAAATTTGAATATGGACTGGATTTTGGATGATAATTGAATTATTGTTAATTTTATGAGGTGTGAAACTTACCTAGGTTACTTAGGAAAATATCCTATTCAGGTATTTAGGGATGAAGTGCCATAACACCTGTAACAGCTTCAAATGGTTCAGCCAAAAAATTAGGTTGTACAATATTCATGTGTGTATGAATATATATGTATTCATACATGTACATTATATATAGAGAGAGAAAGAACTAAAATGTGGCAAAAGGTTGAGTGTCATTGTAGAAGGACATGTGTTCATTGTACTAGTCTTTATACTTTTCTGTGTGTTTCAGATTTTTCAAAATAGAAAGGAAAGAATTATTCATAGGCTAGCTTACAATAGTTTTGAGGGGTGTTGTGTGTTGGGAGAATGGCCGGGGAAAGCAGCAGATAGTTGAGCGGAACTCCGGGAGCTGCAGTAGCTTAACCACTGAGAAGTAATGTTGAAAATTACAAGAGCCTTTGTGGTTGTCAGGAACAAAAGGCTGTAAAAAGCCAGATGGGTCAAGGCCTAGCAGGAAGATGTGGGCAGTGGAGGCCAAAGCAGTCACAGGATCTCTCTGAAGGCAGGAAGGAAAGCATGAGAAAGAGTTACTTCGACTTCCCCTCATACAGGAGAGATTCCAGTGGGTCTTGCTGTGTGATGTGGTGACCAGCT